TTTTGTCTTTTTTTGAAACGTATTATTGGAGTATTGGCAAGTTTTACCATTCAGAGATTTACAAACTAATACTGAAACTGTAAAAACAGTTTGATGTATACGCGCATTCACTAATGAGTAATGACAACTTATAAGCCATACATTTTCCGATAACGACAGAACGCTTGTGTAGCCTTTAGTAGCTCTTAGTGACTAATAATTTTTTTTGAGAGGGGGGGGCAAAATGGGGGGGGGGCAAAAAATAATATTGGGGGGGGCATTTGCCCCCCCCCTGGCGCCGCCACTGGTTCACTGTTATTTGATCATATACTATAACATGTTAATTCGCGCAACATAAATATTAAATGTTATTAAATATTATTGTAAGACATGTAGAACATGTACGAAATCCACACAGAAGTGTGTGTGTGTATTCTATACTTTTGAAACAACTAAATCAGACTTCGGAAAATTTGACAGTATTAAAAAGCTGCTTTTGAGAATTTAGATTTTATTTTAGGTCTTCGTTTTACATGTACCCAGTAAATTTTTTGGAGTTTTGAATTTTGATTCTCAAGCTATTTAAATTAATAAATGTGTATAAAGCGACACCAACGCCACAAAAGCGAAAAGTAGGGCAAGATCGTAAGAATCGCTTGTCAACATGAGCAGTTTTGAGCTAGCCTGCGTAACGGCTCAGAGAAAGTAGAGCCTGCACGAAACCCCCTGCTTTGCCGTATTTACTCGTTCTCTCAGAGGACGAGAAATCTGATTGGTTCAAAATAAAAAAATATGCTAATTTATGCTAAAATTGATACAAACACGGCGGATGTATTATTGAGAGGCGTTTCTTTGAGTTTTGCATTCAAAAGAACTTAAAAGCCACGATTTACGGTTGAACATTAAAGTTATTTACGTATGACGTCATATTTCCGCCAAAATTCGAGTTTTCTATTTGTGATCCTAGTTTGTGTATTTTGTTCAATTCTTAATACAACATTCAACTTTTAACAATTGAACATTCAACTTTTCACACAATTGAACATTCAACTTTTCACACAATTCAACATTCAACTTTTTTACGCAGTTCAACATTCAACTTTTCACAAAATTAAACATTCAACTTTTTACGCAATTCAACATTCAACTTTTCACAATTGAACATTCAACTTTTCACACAATTCAACATTCAACTTTTTTACGCAGTTCAACATTCAACTTTTCACAAAATTAAACATTCAACTTTTTACGCAATTCAACATTCAACTTTTACGTTATTCAACATTCAACTTTTTACGTAATTCAACATTCAACTTTTTACGCAAGTCAACATTCAACTTTTTTGAACATCCAACCGCAATCCAATTTAAACGACGTAACGCCGGCTCACATGTGGCTCAATCACGAGGTGTAAAATATGGCGGATTTTATAAGCGAAGTGAAAGAGACACTAGTCAAGTTAGCAAATAGAATTTCCGACTTGCAACAGTCAAGTGAGGCATCTAACAATTCAGGTAAGTGTAATATTGATTGTATTGGTTTATTATAAATATTCCTCTAAAAGTGCTGTCATAAAATTTTAAATTTACATAAAATTTGCGGCGCTAGGGTAGAGTGTCGTTTGTATAATCTTATGTTTTTAGTATAAATTGATTCGAACAAAATAAAAAGCAGCAAATAAGCAGTGGCGTGCTGGGTACTATTTTTCTGGAGGGGCCAGTGGGCTGTCAACCAATATGCGCCCCTATAATGTTACACTTGATAAACGAGGGCCGAAGGCACGAGCCGAGTGCCGCAGGTGCGAGGTTTGTCTAGGGGGGTCCGGGGGCATGCCCCCCAGGAGAATTTTTGAATTTAGAGTCTCTGAAATGCCATTTCCTGGACTATGGGGAAGATTTGACAGAAATCTGATGGTCAGGAAACGGCATTATAACGTGTCGAAATTTGCAATTTGGTTAGAATTTAGTAGTAGTACTAAATTATACAATGCTAACTACTTCCAGCGATTAATCTAATCCCAATTCTGTTCTCTATTGATCTACTGTTCTGAGCACATTTACAACTTACAGCTCTTTTGTACAATAACACACGCACCCCACGCATATGCATTTTAAGGTTTCCTTGCCTGGCTGCCAAAAGGGCATGTTCCAGCATTATTTCATTACTTACATTACTCATGCTTCTTGTGCAAACAACTAAATTGCGTACACAACTTTACATCAGTTATCATAGCTTCAACTATCTAATTTGCGCCGCTCTCGTGATTCGTGAAGCATAATAAAGGGCATAATATAAGGGCATAATACCAGCAAAAAAGGGCATAATTCCGTGATCGCTTGGATCGAAACCTGACCAATATTCCGGTAATGAGACATTGCCTGTGATCACTGATCATGTTTCTACATAAACGATTTCGTGTGAGCTGTGAGGTAGCAAATACGGTTAGGCAAAATAGTCTGTAATTTAATATATGTCGCCTATGCGCTTAGTCTGTTTTATACTGTAGCCTATAAACACGTCTTTTCTTGGCGGAAGTAACCATATTTTTTCGAGAATGCGTTTTTTCCCACCCACTTTCAAAATTCGGCGCCCCATTTTCATTTTTGCGCCCCCCAAGAATTGCCAGCTGGGGGGGCGTGGCCCCCCGCCCCCCCCCCCCTGCCAGCACGCCACTGCAAATAAGTGAATGGAAGGTGTTTTTGTACACATTTAATCCACAATTTGATCGAAATATATTATAAAGTGTATACAGGTGAATATGATGCTTGTGATGTTACTCTGAGTGTATATCTATACCGCAGGGCAAGCTTGAAAAATATGCCTGACCACGGTGGGAATCGAACCTACGACCTTTGGAATACTAGCCCAATGCTCTGCCAACTTTAGCTACGCGGTCTGGTCGGTTCGAGACCAACCAGACCGCGTAGCTCAGTTGGCAGAGCATTGGGCTAGTATTCCAAAGGTCGTAGGTTCGATTCCCACCGTGGTCAGGCATATTTTCAAGCTTGCCCGGCGGTGTAGATATACACTCAGAGTAACATCACAAGCATCATATTCACCTGTATTATGTATACACTTTATAATATATTTCGATCAAATTGTGGATTAAACGTGTACAAAAACACCTTCCATTCACTTATTTGCTGCTTTTTATTTTGTTCGAATCAATTTATCATAAAAACATAAGATTATACAAACGACACTCTACCCTAGCGCCGCAAATTTTATGTAAATTTAAAATTTTATGTTGACAAAATAGTAGAGGTTACTCAGGTGTAGTACAGTACTTTTAGAGGAATATTTATAATAAACCAATACAATCAATATTACACTTACCTGAATTATTAGATGCCTCATGCACTTGACTGTTGCAAGTCGGAAATTCTATTTGCTAACTTCACTAGTGTCTCTTTCACTTCGTTTATAAAATCCGCCATATTTTACACCTCGTGACTGAGCCACATGTGAGCCAGCGTTACGTCGTTTAAATTGGATTGCGGTTGGATGTTCAAAAAAGTTGAATGTTGAATTGCGTAAAAAGTTGAATGTTGAATTACGTAAAAAGTTGAATGTTGAATAACGTAAAAGTTGAATGTTGAATTGCGTAAAAAGTTGAATGTTTAATTTTGTGAAAAGTTGAATGTTGAACTGCGTAAACAAGTTGAATGTTGAATTGTGTGAAAAGTTGAATGTTCAATTGTGAAAAGTTGAATGTTGAATTGCGTAAAAAAGTTGAATGTTGAATTGTGTGAAAAGCAGGGGCGTAGGAACCGGGGGGGCCAGGGGGGCCATGGCCCCCCAAGTTTTGGCAAGTGCCCTTTTTACAGGAGCAAAGTGCCCTTTTTGTGCCTGAAAAATTTTCATAAAATTCGCAGTTTTTGTCCAAACGAAACTTTTGAAAACTGTAAGTAGGTTTTTTCCCGAAAAATGTTTTAGTTTCCGATAAAAATATCATATATTTGTTTTTCCGGAAAAAATTTTTAGTATTTAAGGAAAAATATGGTATGTCCGGAAAAATTTTTTACCCCTAAAATGGTACACTGACCGAAATTTTTTTGGCGACGGGGGGGGGGTCGCCAAAAATTTTTTTTGAGATGCCCTTTTTTTTTGAAAGTGTCCCTCAAAGCCTGGCCCCCCCAACTTTTCTAAGCTTCCTACGCCCCTGGTGAAAAGTTGAATGTTGAATTGTGTGAAAAGTTGAATGTTCAGTTGTGTGAAAAGTTGAATGTTCAATTGTGAAAAGTTGAATGTTGTATTAAGAATTGAACAAAATACACAAACTAGGATCACAAATAGAAAACTTGAATTTTGGCGGAAATATGACGTCATATTTACGAACTTGGTTCACGAAGCTCTAGAGATATTGACTGTGGTGTCTTCGTTGGATTGCTGTCTGTTAGCAGCGCCTCTTTCACAACTCACGAGCGTGTTCGTTTTCATAAATTCATCGACGACAAATAGATTTTTTCTTCATGATTTTGTAGCTAATAATTTTGTGCCAGGAGAGAATTGCTATAAATGCTTATGTCTTGTGAACAGGACTTGCTCTCTGTGAAGTGATGGCTTTAAACACCTTTAATATTCTCTTATCAGCATCGCTCGAAACTTTAACATTTAATACATCACGGTTGACCGCTGTCGAAACTATAAATTCTATTTGTACGTGTGCGAGAAAGCTACGAAATATCGTAGATACGGACTGCAAACTACTTGTGACAACGATGGAGATTGCCCTAGGCCTAGCGCTATTCCCACAGACAGGGCCGTAGCTAGCATGTATAGTTGGGGTGTAAGCCAGAAATTTCCGAATGACGAAGAAAATTTCCGAATATTTTATGGCATACGAAGCCACGAAGGTGTTTGCTATCCGGAAAATGAAGATGCAATTTAGAAACAAAAATACACATAGTTTACGCAAAGACATATTACAGAAGCATGCAGTGCCGTAGGAAGCTCTTTTTTATTGGGGGCTGGGAACGAGGGCTGAAGGCCCGAGGAAATTTTTAAATTTAGATTCTCTGAAATGCCATTTCCTGGACTTCGGGGAAGTTTTGACAGAATTCTGATGGTCAGAAAACGGAGTTTTAGTATGATATTTATGCCGTTACTCTGAGTATGCATCCACAGCGGGCAAGCTGAAAAGTTTGCTTGGCCACGGTGAGAGTCGATCCCGCGACCTTTGGGATACTAGTCCAATGTTCTGCCAACTGAGCTACGTGGTCAAGTCGGTTCGAGTTTTTAATAGAGTTTTAGTATGTCGAAGTTTACAATTTGCTTACAATTTAGTAGAACTAAATGGGCGAAGGCGTATTTAATTAACTATATATTGCAGGAAAGAGTATGGGTAATATGATTCTTTGCGGTTTGTCATGGATAATGTAGCCGCTTAAAATTAATTTTGTTCATCAGTTTGATCATCTGATTATCAATTTCCCGTTTGTAATGCAAAATGACTGAAAAACGGCAAACTTCGCAAGGCTATATTATCCGCATTACAACATTTAACGAAACTTCGGAATATTACTAATTTTGTGATGCTCTTTCAAGCTGTGGTGAAATTTTTGTCCAGGCTTGTCTAGAACAAAATTTCACTCAGATGTGAAATGGGGAAATTAAGGTCTATGGTAGAGGTGTGCAAATCCGATCCGAATCCGATCGGATTCGTTCGGATTTCGGAACCAAAATGTAAATTTCGGATCGGATTGATAAAGTTGTTTCGTAGTCGGATCGATATCCGAAATAAAATGAATTAATTATCCATGCACTATCGCAAGAATTAATTATCCATACATTTATCAAAGTATCATCGCGGTTTTCGCTGCATTATTCAGTCTGATACTTCAATTGGACGTCACTTTGTCAGCTTCTTGACATGTATTTCTTGCTTTTATATTTATTTGGTTAAATATTTCAACTTGAATGAAAAATTTATTTTATTAAAGAATTCTTCGGATCGGATCGGATTTCTTTTTAAAAACTCGGATCGGATTCGGATTAGACAATTTCGGATCGGATTTTAAACATTAGGCAATTGTCGGATTTTAAACGTCCAATCCGATCCGATGCACACCTCTAGTCTATTGTCAGTATTTTAAAGGTATATTATTTAAATGATAAAGGTGTGCATGATTTTGAAAAAAGAATGATTATCAGCAAATTATTGTAAGGGCTGCTGCCTCCAGTCCCCCCTCCCCCCGACTGCTACGGCCCTGAGAAGTAATAAACCGAAAAACATTTACCGATTTACGATTTGTTTTACGTTATCCATGTAAATGCCGTGATTTCGTAAATCAGTTTATACCAATGGTTTATACTGGCAATACCATTTTATAATATTTTCTCTGTTTAAACAAATGGCCAAGCCGATTTTCCAACCCGATTTTCCAACCCGAATGGCCAACCCGATTTTCCGAATATGTTAATTCTACAAAAGTTGGGGGGGGGGGTTAACCCCCCCCCAATACCCCCCTCGCTACGGCCCTGCCCACAGACTTCAATTTTCTTTAGCCGCCATCCGTATATTACAGTATATTTCGTTTTGAAATTTGCGAACATACAGCAATCTATATTTATATTTCATTTTGATAAGTAAATTTGCAAACGTAAACAATCTGTGTGATTGGCCAATTTTGACATCTGTTTAAAGTGGGCGTAGCCCGTAGGCTAAGTGGGCGGAATTGGCAAAGCAGGGGGTTTCGTGCAGGCTCTACTTTCTCTGAGCCGTTACGCAGGCTATTTTGAGCATAAACATGAAATTGAAACGAGTGATTTAACGCATTTGATTGACTAAGTTCAGGAAGCCAGTCAAGTGTACGTGTATTTGTTACAATTCCGATCAACTCTGCCACAGCAGAGTAAAAGGCCCTGTCACACGGTGCAATTTTTCATGCAACTTGTCTCGCAATGGTGTTGCGAGACAAGTTGCACGAGTCATTGCACCGTTTAACATGCCTTGCAATGGTCAAAATCGTTGCGAGACAAGTTGCATGAAGCATCGCAGAGAGTAGAAGTCGGTTCTACTTTTGGCAACGATTGCACTAATTATTTTTAGCATTGCAGCGTGTAACATGGCTTCGTGCAACTTGTCTCGCAATGTTTAATGCTTGGAGAGTTCCTATTGGCTCTCCCCAGTACACGCTTTAC